GATGTTTATGGGCACTGTTAGAATTCTAGGGGGGTCTGAAATGATTCATTCAGATCCCATAAACATTGAGGAATAAGAGGTCCTCATTCAGGACCAAGCCCTGAAAATCATAGGGTTGATTTTCCTTCGTGACTAAGCTTATAGGTTATCATGTGACAGTCACAGAGACACATGGTTCCCTGTTGAGCATCATCCTCCATCCCCATGAAGTGACACTGTGTGACAGAGTCTGTATCCAGAGACTCGATGTCCATTGATCAACTCCCCACCTTGGACTTACCTCATCCCTGCAACACCTGTTCCTTACAGATTTAGATCCTTGGTTAAAGAAAGAGGAGTACTGATGATGGTGGTAACTTAAAATTAATATTTCCAGTCGAATTTTTATTTATTTATTTTAAAAAATGTATTTGTATTGATTTCAGAGAGAAAGGGAGAGGGAGAGAGAGAGATAAAAACATCAATGATGAGGGAGAACATTGATAGCTGCCTTCTCCACAACCCTTAACAGGGATTGAACCCATAACCTGGGCTTGTGCCCTTCATCAGAATCAAACCCGGGACCCTTCAGTCTGCATGCTGATTCTCTGTCCTCTGAGCCAAACTGGCTAGGGCTCCTGACTATTTTGTAAAGATTAAAATTTTTCCTGCCTGATTTTTCAAATCATCTTAAATCCATACAGAGAACTTAAAAATATTAATTTTATTGTAAGTATGTGTGCGAGAAAAAGAGGGATGGGGAGAGAGAAAAACAGAAATGTGAATATGATAAAAGAAATGGAGGACAGCAATCCTCAGATGAGATGCTTGTGTTTGACCCTGATGGGACAACCCAGGTGCACTATGTTTATTTATTGACTCACATAAATTGCAGAATAATAAATTATTTTCTTTTAGGTGAAACATGCATGGGAGTTTCAAAGGTGACTGGGGAGCTGAGGTTCTGAGTGTCGGTATTGCTCACGAAGGCTGTTATGACATCTGAGAGCAGGACGGGGGAGACTTCCTGCAGCAGGCCCTTGTGTGTCTCATGCAGAACTGACTGCTCCTCAGTTTCCAGTACTAGGGGGGCCCCAACCAGCAACTTACCCATCCCTGGAGAGGAGACAAGGCCCACGACAGAAGGGCCTACAAGAAAAGGACAAGGTTGACATCTTGGGTTGTCCCAAAGGCCCCCTTCCTTCTGGGATGCATTCTGTCCTTTGACCCTCCACAGCCTACACTTCCTTTTAATATTTAATTTTCCGTTTGTCACGTCCATGGGTGTCTTGTTCCACTTTAAGCCTCATTCACCTCTTGACATCAGTCGTTACCTGAGCCACCTGAGTTTTGCACCACATCCCAGTTCACCAGCATCTTTGCCTGATTAATTCTCAGGGTGACATTCTTGTCTCCTTGCTTCTTCACCTCCAGGGACAGTTCTATGAGTTGTGGGAGTTACATAAGGGAGTTAGATTAGTAACTGTGCCAGCAGTTGTAGCTATAATATCATTTTATTGTATAGATATCTTTTATATATATTATGTTACACTATATACCAAATGTTATCTGTAAAATTATTATAGGTATACCAAATAATGCCATATATATGTTATAATAAGACATATTTTGTATACATAAGAATGATATATATGTGTATATATATATATATATATACATATATATATATATATACCAATCTGAATTTTCAAAGGATTATCAGAGGAACGACAAATTATATAACCTGATGAAATAAACAAATTCCCACAGACCCATGAGCTATAAAAGTAACTGAAGACCTAGAGTGTGAACAGACCTGTCATAAGTAAGGAGATTGAATCTGTAATCAAAACTTTCTAAATGAAAAGTTCAGACCTGAATTCAACTAACCAGTTAAGGAAGAGTTAACAGAAATTCTTGTACACTCCTAAAAAATAGAATGAAAGGGAACATTGAATAATTTTATGAGACCACAATTACTCTAAAAACCAAACTAGAAAAAGATATCAAAAGAAAACAAAACAATAGACCATTAACTCTTATGAACATAGGTGCAAATATCTTCAGCAAAATATTAGGAACAAAGTTATCCAAGAAGGCTCAAGACTTTGTCCACTGAAAACTACAAAATATTGCTAAAGAAATTTAAAATCCCTAAATAAATGGAAAGGTATCCTGTGATTATGAATTGGAAGACTTAATATTTTAAACATGGCAAGATTCCCAAAAGTGATCTACAGATTCAATGGTATACTAACAATATTCCAAAAGCATATTTTTGTTTGCAAAAATGGAAAAGCTCATCGTAAAATTCATATGTTATTGCAAGAAGCCCAATACCCAAACAAAATGAAAACCAAAATTGGAGAACTCACACTTCCTGATTTCAAAATGTATTACTAGTATACAGTAACCAGAGCAGTATGGTACTGCCATATGAGTAGACATGTATACCCTCAAATAAAATTGAGATTAAAGATATAAACCCATTTATTTATGGTTACCCGATTTTCAATAGAATCCTTCAATGAGGGAAAGAATAGTCTCTCCCGTAAATGGTGCTGGGGCATCTGGCTCTGCTCAAGCAAAAAAAGGAAGATGGACTCACACCTCACACAATACACAAAAATCGGGTCAAAATGGGTCAAAGACCTACACTAAAGAGCTAAAAATAGAGCAGTTAGGCACAGCCCATGTAGTTCAGTGATTGAGCATCGACCCAGGAACCAAGAGGCACCCTCCGCCCCCTCCTGTTTGATTCCAGGACATGGCACATGCCCGGGTTGCTGGCTCTATTTCCTGTGGTGTGTGTGCAGGAAGTAGCCAATCAATGATATTTCTCTTTCATTGATGTTTCTATCTCTCTATCCCTCTCCCTTCCTCTTGCTCTAAAAAAATAAATAAAAATGTTAAAAACATTACCCCCCTCCTCCCAGCCCTACACCCACCCCTGAGGTTTCACTATTCTATTGCCTGTGTCCATGGGCTATGCATGTAAGTATATAGGTTCTTTGGTTTATCTCATCATTGATGTTTCTCTCTCTCTCTCTCTCTCTCTCTCTCTCTCTCTCTCGGAGGCATGAGGCATGAGGGAGGCAGCCATTTGAAGATGTTTCTCTCTCATCAATGTTTCTTCTATCTCTCTATCCCTCTCCTTTTCTCCTCTCTCTGAAATCAACAAAAACATATTAAAAAGAAAAGAAATAGATGTGATGGCTATACAACTCTGAATGTATGAAATGCCACTGAATTGTACACTTTGATTAAAATGGTAGATTTTATGTTATGTGAAATTCACCTTAAAAAACAAATCACTTAAATATCAGATAATATTAAATTGCATTCCTCCAAATTTAATAATTTGTTTCTTTTGATGCCATTTCTATTTTATCTTAATTTATTTATTACTAGAGGCCCAGTGCACAAAATTCATGAACTGTGTGTGTGTTGGGGGGTGGTCCCTCAGCTCAGCATGAACCATCTCCAATCTGGGAGTACCCCCTCCCCTGCCTGCCTGCCTGATCGTCCCATAACCGCCTTTGCAGGCCTGATCACCACAACTGCCATCCCCTGCTGGCCCGATGGCCCCCAACTGCCCTTCCCTGTGGCCCAATTGCCCCCAACTGCCCTCCCCTGCTGGCCCAATCTCCCCCAACTGCCCTCCCCTGCCAGCCTGGTCATCCCCAATGGCCCTCCTCTGCCAGCCTGTTCACCCCCAATTGTCCTCCCCTACTGGCCATCTTATGACAATATGGGGGCAGCCATCTTGTGATGATTGGGGGCAGCTATTTTGTGACAAAATGAGGGCATGAGGGTCAATTCGCATATTACCTCTTTATTATATAGGACTAGAGGCCCGGTGAACAAAATTCGTGCACTGGACAGGGTGTCCCTCAGCCCAGCCTGCACCCTCTCCAATCTGGGACATCCCTCTCACAATCTGGGACTGCTGGCTCCTAACCACTCGCCTGCCTTACAGCCTGATCACCGCCTAATTGCTCCCCTGCCAGCCTGATTGACACCTAACTGATCTCCTTTTGGCCTGCTGGCCCCCAACTGCCCTCCCCTGCCAGCCCGATTGCTTCCAACTACCCTCCCCTGCCGGCACAATCACCCCTAACTGCCCTCCCCTGCTGGCCTGGTTGCCCCAAACTGCCTGCCTGAGCTAGCCTGGTCGCCTCTAACTGCCCTCCCCTGCCGGCAGCCAACTTGTAAAAAAATGGGCACGGCCATCTTGTGAACACTTGGGGGTGGCCATATTTGCAAGGGCATGGCAGTTAATTTTCATATTAATGCTTTATTATATAGGATAATTATTTCATCTGCTGATAATTTATATTACAATGAAAATGTGTAGTATTGATAATATTTTTCATTTTCTTTTGATCTTTTATCTTAATATGTTTATGAGAGTAATAAGGAGGTACAAGTGTGATCACTCAGCTCTAGTGCGATGAGAAGAGGAATGAGGTGAGGAGCAGGCAGAGCAGAGCTTGGGGGCAGGCGGGGTTACTTGCCTGTTCCTGCAGTTGTCCTGAAGGTCAGTGTCCCATTGGACAAGGCCTTGCTCAGCTCTCTCAGGATGTGCTCCCAGCCAGTCAGCACAGTGCTGCTCTGAAGGAGGCAGGGTAAGCAGGTCCCCCGGGTTCTCCAGGAGATTATCCACCTCCTGTATGATGTCCTGGGGGGATGGGGACACAGAACCAGTGGATCTTGTGCCAGAGAAGCTTCAGGAAGACCCTGCCCACTCAGCTTTTGAGAACAGACCCTAGAACCTGTCCATTTGGGGACAAAGGTGGTACCAGATGGGATTTCCTGGGTCTTTGCTAGTGCAATCCACCACTCACAAGTCAACCCCTGGTCATGGCTACCAAGGACAATGCAAGCTCAGTGGCCAGAACAAGAGGAAAGGTGTTAGTAGGTGTACATGGGTCTACCAGTGAGTACAAATACTTGGTCTGCTCTTCCCACCCACCCTGGGACAACGGGGCCTCAGAACAGGGCGCCGTTGTGTTGGGTTCGGTCTCCTTCCAGACCAAGGCTTCCTTGGGTCTCTATGGGATGCCTCCACCTGCCTCCCCTGGGTCCTGTCCTTACCTGGATGGTGTCCTGGGCTGAAGCAGACTTGAAGTCTCTGCGTAGGTCCTGGACTCTTTCAAAGAAGCGAGAGAGATTCTGGGGAAAGGAGATGAGGCCTTAGAGGGCCTCATACATGGGTAGGGGAGCGTGAGGAAATGGGTTGATGGTGGCCCGAGTGGAGGGACCTTGACTTCTGGTCCCAGCTGGAGTCACTCACCTGGCTCTTGATTTCAGGGGGCGGGGTCCAGGTGGGGAAGGAGATATCTGCAGGGGACAGAACAGCAGTTCATTAGGTGTGTGAGTGTGTGTGATTGTGTGTGTGTGTGTGTGTCGGTCACAGGGGTTATAGGAAGTGTGCAAATGCCTGACCCACAGCAGGTCAGCCCCCACAGAGGTACAGGTTGTGAGATATTAAATACCTTTGTCCCAGTTAGTAATTAGCTGCTGCCTGGGGTCCCCCAGGAGACTTCCCCTTGGTACCCCAGCTCCTTCTGCAGGATCCCCAGATCTTTTCAATTTAGTCTCACAAGTATGGAATCCTGGCCCACCAGGGCACCCCCAGCATTCATTGCACTGGGTTCATGTGGCTGCCCATGAATATGTGATCAGGTGACTTCAGCTGTGTGTCTTTGGGAATATGGGATCTTAACTCCAAACCTTGTTCACAGATGGTGTTGTGTGGGCCATGGGGGGACCCAGGAACCGGCTTCCAGCCTGGGCGACAGAGGCACTCATAGCTGCCCTCGGTGTTGTGGCATTGGGTGGATTTGTGGCAGGAGTTTTGCCCTGGTTGACAATCATCCACATCTGAGGACAAACCGGAGAGAGTGTCAGGCCCACCTTCTACTCCCTACACACAACCCTCCAGCCCCTTCTCTCAAAGTACACCAAAGACACCCCCACTACACCCTGCTTAACAGCCACCTAGTCCAACAGTATACAAACTTGTGGTGACATTTTCCAGTGTAAAAGCACCATAGGCTCAGAGTGCTCCTGGAAGGTGGACAGGAGAGGACTGTGTGAGTGCCAGTGTCATCCCAAAGCTGTGCCCCCACCTGTGGGGCAGGATGGGTTGGGGGAGGACCTGGGAGGCTGCTGCACTGATAGCTCCCATGCGCTGAGTCTGTGGGCTGTGGCACTGCCATGCATAGAGCTGCGCTCATGCCCTTATTAGAACAGAATCTGATGCTCAGCCCTGCCCTGCCCAGGTGCCCTCTCCTCACTGCCTGCACTGGGCACACACCATTGCTGACGGTGCTGCCCCTTCTCTGCCAAAGCTCCCTATGGCAGCTGCCTTTCAGATGGCTCAGCAAAGGAAAAATGATGTGGTTCTTTTATGGGATCTGAACTCTGAACCTTCACAGACGGTGTTGTGTGTGGGCCATTGGGGGACCCAGGAATCGGCTTCCAGCCAGGATGGCAGCGGCACTCATAGCTGCCCACAATGTTTGGCAGTGGGTTCTTTTTGGGTGTGTGTTTTAAAAATATGTTTTTATTGGTTTTAGGGAGAGAGGAAGGGAGAGGGATAGAAAATAGAAACATTGATTGGTATCCTCCTGCACACCCCCCATTGGGGATGGAGTCCACAATCC